AAAGTTTAGGATCCAGTGATCATCAGTCAGTGTGGTTTAATATAAGAACAGTGACTGAGTCACACCACACAAAAACAAAAGTTTTAGACTTTAGAAAAACAGACTTTTCTAAAATTAGAATATGGGTAGAGGAGTCATTATCAGACTGGAGCAATTTAAATGGAGTCCAAGAGAAATGGGATTATTTAAAAGTTGCACTATTGAAGGCAACAGAAAATTGCATTAGGCTTGTCAGTAAAAGCAAAAAATTCAAGAAACCACTGTGGTACTCCACAGATGTGGCCAAAATAGTTAAAAACAAAAAGTTAGCATTTAGGAATTATAAAAAAAACAGAGTGAGGAAGACAAAATGATCTATAAGATTAGGCAGAAAGAGGCTAAGCAAGTTATAAGAGCTTCCAAATCACACACAGAAGATAAAATAGCACAGTCAGTAAAAAAGGGGGACAAAACTTTTTTTAGATACATAAATGAGAAAAGAAAAGTAAAACAAGGATTAGTTAGATTAAAAACTAAAGAAGGAAGGTATGTAGAAGAGGATAAAGGTCTAGCTGACTGCCTCAATGAATATTTTTGTTCCTTATTTACAGATGAAAATGAAGGAAAGGGACCTCAGTTAAGAAAAAGGATAAATGAGTCATTTATTACACGTGAGTTTACAGAGGAAGAGGTTCTATTTCAACTGTCAAAAGTAAAGACAAATAAGTCAATGGGACCTGATGGAATATACCCAAAGCTATTAAAAGAGCTTAGTGGTGTACTAGCAAAACCATTAACAGATTTATTTAACCAATCATTGTTAACAGGAGTAGTTCCAGAAGATTGGAAGTTAGCGAATGTTGTGCCCATTTACAAGAAAGGTAATAGGGAGGAGTCGGGCAACTATAGGCCAGTAAGCCTTACTTCAGTAGTGGGGAAAGTGATGGAAACCATGTTAAAGGATAGGATTGTTGAACATCTAAAAACACATGGATTTCAAGATCAGAGACAACATGGGTTTACTTCAGGGAGATAATGCCAAACTAATCTTATTGATTTTTTTGATTGGGTAACTAAAATTATAGATCAGGGTGGTGCAGTAGACATTGCTTACCTAGATTTCAGTAAGGCTTTTGACACTGTTGCACATAGAAGGCTTATCAATAAACTGCAATCTTTAAGTTTGGATTCCAATATTGTTGAATGGGTAAGGCAGTGGCTGAGTGACAGGCAACAGAGGGTTGTAGTTAATGGAATATATTCGAAGCTTGGACTTGTCACCAGTGGGGTACCTCAGGGATCTGTACTTGGACCCATTCTCTTTAATATTTTTATTAGTGATATTGCAGAAGGTCTTGATGGTAAGGTATGTCTTTTTGCTGATGATACTAAGATATGTAACAGGGTTGATGTTCCAGGAGGGATAAGCCAAATGGCAAATGATTAAGGTAAACTAGAAAAATGGTCAGAATTGTGGCAACTGACATTTAATGTGGATAAGTGCAAAATAATGCATCTTGGACGTAAAAACCCATTAGCAGTAGAAAGAGGGAAGTGCTCATGCCATTGCACAGAACACTGGTGAGACCTCACTTGGAGTATTGTACACAGTATTGGAGACCATATCTTCAGAAGGATATTGATACCCTAGAGAGAGTTCAGAGAAGGGCTACTAAACTGGTTCATGGATTGCGGGATAAAACTTACCAGGAAAGGTTAAAGGATCTTAACATGTATAGCTTGGAGGAAAGACGAGACAGGGGGGATATGATAGAAACATTTAAATACATAAAGGGAATCAACACAGTAAAGGAGGAGACTATATTTAAAAGAAGAAAAACTACCACAACAAGAGGACATAGTCTTAAATTAGAGGGACAAAGGTTTAAAAATAATATCAGGAAGTATTACTTTACTGAGAGGGTAGTGGGTGCATGGAATAGCCTTCCACCTGAAGTGGTAGAGGTTAACATAGTAAAGGAGTTTAAGCATGCGTGGGATAGGCATAAGGCTATCCTAACTATAAGATAAGGCCAGGGACTAATGAAGGTATTTAGAAAATTGGGCAGACTAGATGGGCCGAATGGTTCTTATCTGCCGTAACATTCTATGTTTCTGTGTTATTTGCAATTTTAATGAGTGCACTTGTTCAGTAGTGGTTGCTTATAATAATAGGATTAACAGGATTGCATATTAAAATTAGATGTATCCTAATGGTGGAATATATAAATTACTCTCAAATTACTTGTATCATTTGGGTCTACTACTCCCCAATACTAAAGAGGAAGACTCCCTGATACTTCCATGCTTTGAAAAGATCTGCTAGTAGTCTGAGGCCAAATCTCGGTCATGTTATCAACTTTTATCTCATTTTATTGTGCATATATTGGATTGCTTCAAGTCTGTTGTGAATCTGTTATGACATTGTGTAGACAATTTGTATAATTCACATTCAACAAAGGAACAATTCCAATTATTAGAAATTTTATTTACGAGATCTAAAGAGTACTTAAAGGAAACTGACAGGGTGATAATTCTAACTTGTTTGTATAAGGTTACTATGTTTGCTTATTAATAATAATAAAAATGACACTAAATTCAAGCTGCTAATGCATGATTAAATAATTAAATAAGGACAAATGACTATAACTCAATCTATTACAAACAACATCATGGAAGGATTCATGACATTGTCTGGAGCTGAACCACTGATGCCCTGAACTTGTGTTTCCCTCCATTGAACAGTACATTATTCATTCTGCACTAAATCAATCTTGACTACCATTGAAAATATTTCAACAGCCCAAGACATTTGCCATAAAACATATTAATCTCACAAAGCCTAAGCAAACTGCTGAAAAATGTAATTATTTCAACTATAAAAAGCCTTAACAAAAACCTATAAAATAAATATTATTTATAGTAGGCAAGACAAATATCTAGGTAACAATCATTATTGGACACAAATACACAAATATAGCAACATTCTGAAAAATTTTACAGCCTACTATCAAGAATTTTATTTTATAGGTTTTATTGTTCAGGCTTTTTTTTTATAATTAAAATAATTAAACTTTTCTGCAGTTTGCATAGGCTTTGTGAGATTAATATGTTAATGGTAAGTGTCTTGGGCTGTTGAAATATTTTCAATGGTAGTTATAGATATATATATGTCTTATAAATATATTAATAGGTCAACCTGAAGTCTGTGGATAGTTAATTCAATGTTAAAAAAAAATCTGCACACCAGTCAAGCCACATAAGACTTGCTTTTCCCACAGAAATCACAAATCTTCAGTGATGTTACTACCGCAAAGGATTCTGGGTGGGCATATGCAAATTAGTTCAACAAAGATTCACATTTTTGCCTCATTCCATTTTAAACATAGATTCCTTTGAGTCTGTGTTTGCTCTATACAACAGCTTTGAAACACAACTTAAGAAAAAATGCAAAGCCAGTGAACTACTCATGGACAGCTGTTTCATTGTTAATGCAAATCATCAGCATGAGGTTGGTTACTGGTTTGCTTATTGAGGCTTGGTAGTGCTTGGGAAGCAAAATCCAAATAGGTCATGGTGGGGAAAAATAATTGTGATTGAAAACCCCTTCCACCTGAAGTCTGTGGATAGTTAATACAATGTTAAACAAAAATCTGCACACCAGTCAAGCCATAAGACTTGCTTTTCCTACAGGAATCACAAATCTGCAATGATGTTACTACCGCAAATGATTCTGGGTGGGCATATGCAAATTAGTTTAACACCTACACCTGACAATTCCACAGAAACTGTCTTAACCTAGGTTAGTGACTTAGTGACAACTAAATCAGAAAGCTTATATTTGCTACTTATTTTTCTTGATATTTTGTCGCCTTTGACACTGTTGCCCACCAGCTTCTTTTTCCCATCCTTTGCAACCTTAGCCTCAGTGACACCGAACCTTCCTAGTCCAGTGTCTCTTTCTCTTGTTCTTCCTCAACTTCTGTACCTCTCTGCAGATAAGAAGATTTGCACAAAAAAAAAGAAGACTTCAGATGGTAACTATATTTTCTTTTCCACAGGTATTATTTTTTTTTGTGTTTTTTTTTAAAATTTGGATTTTATTTGGATTTGTACAAATGGTACACTCTTGGATCAGTATATTTTCATTAAAGTAACAAAGTAAGACATGGATACACAATAATAATGGCTTGGTTCAGCAAGCGGAGGTAGTTGCAAAACAAGGAACACAGCAAACATATTGACATTGTTTTTTTCAGGCCGATACATACATAGAGTCACTTTAATCTAGAGTCTGTGTCTGCGTTGGGGAGGACTGCACATCGAAAGTCACGTCGAGCTAGGTCCACTCTCTGCATTTGGAACGTCACTCTGACTAGAGTTAGGGCTCCCTGTCCCAGCCTCCCCTCTGCCTATTTATCATTGTTTCCCTAAGACACAAAGTGGTCGGGTTGTCGCTTGCGCATGGTCTGTTAACTAAACCTTGGGTCTTTATGTTCATAAACTACACATATATGTGCACTGCGCGCCAAAACATAGGGCTCTCGATTCTCACTCTGTCAGTCGAGTTGTCTAGACATGACCAGGGCTTTTATGCCAGTTCTGTATAGTTTCTTCGGAGCAGGACGTGAGGTGATAGAGTCATCTGCTATAGAGGGATAGTCGCCCTATACCAAGCCATGCAGGCATGAGATCATAGTTTATATACAGCTGTTCGCGTGAACTAAAATATAAGGCTCTATATTCCTATTCTACAAACATACTAACTATACAAACTAAAACACTAAATATTATTTCCTGTCACTGTTTGTATACGAGTAAGTGGTCTCTTTGAGCTGAAACAAATAACAACTGGTTGTTCACTAAGTATCTAAAGATCGAATACCAAAAACCAAGAGACTGAAGGTTGAAAAAGTTCTAAAACAGGTTAATCAAATTGCCTAGCTGGAGCTGCTCACAGACCCGCTGTCCCAGTAATTAATAGTAATCAATTCACAGTTCCTTTGGCCCAGCTGGCAGCTTCAATTGTCAGGGTCAATCAAGGATCCATCTCCTCCCCACCAGTATCTCACTGAGTATTCTCTCAGCTGACCAGCTATTGGAGTCAAGAGCCTCTTTTCCAGCATGGGAAATGGTAGATCGCTGAACACTGCCACTGTGCAACCTTTAAACTGGAACTTCCCTTTGTCTCTGGAGTGGGCCAGGATAGCAGCGCAAGCAGCGACGTCCCTGGTGATCACTATGGTGTCTCTCGATGCTCTGGTCGGTGCTGTCACTGCCTTGCGAATCCGGAAAGCATTGGATATCAGCGTGGGGTCAGCGCCCCCCTTGAGGCCCATGGAGGCAATCAGTCTCTGGAGAAAGGGCATCAATGCCTCATCCTCTATCCTCTCTTGAATGCCGCGCAGGCGAATATTTCGGCGTCTGCGGGACTCTATCATTGAAACCTGTTAAGCCTCTGGACTTGTTGGGCCAGATTCTCCACCTGATGTTTGGTAGTTTGCATTAGGCTGTCCCGGGTCCTCCCCCTGGATTCTACCTCCTGGACTTTCTGGTGAAGGTTTCCCACCTCCTCCTGAGTCTCTCTCAGATCAGCTTTCCACAACCCCTGCATGTCTGCTAGGAGCCTTTTAATATCTCCTTTTGTGGCAGGAGAAGAGTCTTCATCTGATTCAGCTTCCGGGGAGTCATCCCCTGGACCTGGTGAGGTGAGCTCTTCCTCCTCTTTGCAAGATTCCTCAGAGGCCTCATCCTACTCTTGAGTCTCGGGCTCCATCTTAGGCAGCTCTAGCCGAGTAGGCCTCTCGAATTAAAGCCTAATATTGGGCCATTTAGCTCTCTCTCTCAGATTGGAAATTTTCAATGTCTGCACCCCATATTGCCATCTTTTGGGGGATGTCGGTTATGTGTCCCCTGAAAACTCCAAGGGTGACAAAAATGTGAAGTTTCTGGTGCAGAGCTCAGTGGAAACACGTTTGCCAGCTGCACTGTTGGCCATGCCCCCCACAGGTATTAGTTTTAATGGGCCCACACTTACTAGTGCTAAGGTTTTGGGGTCTAGATAGAGCAAAATTTATTGTTACGGTGGGGTGTGGGTGGATATGGGATCGGGATGACAACAATGATATTTCTATGGGAGTAAAAATGCCATTGTTTATTCTTTACAGCCTCCAACCATTACCCTTGGTGAACATTAGGTCACTCTCTGTATATTATAATAAGAGCCTCCACCCATCGGTAATAGTTTGAGACAGGGGTGGGGGACACCATGTCCCCCTCCATTTGTTATTGTTACAGCCACTACCCACTGCTAATGGGTGGGGGTTGTGGTGGGGGACATAAGGTTTACTCAGTATAAAATTAGTAGCCTGCTTTGTCTGACCATGGGTAAGGCAGAGAGGACATAAGGATTTCCCCCCAGTTTATTTCAATTTAATAGCCCTTACCTGCTAGCCATGGGTGGAGGCATAGTAGTGAAGAGTGATCTGTAATTCCCTCTGACCCCCCATTATTTAATTTAGAGTCCCCCACTGAATGCCCATGGGTGGGGATTTCAAGGGGGACTATATTCTCCCCCATTATTAAAGAGGCTACATTCCCATGGTTTGATGTCTTGTTAGTGACTGGGCAGAAATATATAACCAATTGCTAGATTTTAAACAATTAGGGGATAGGCCGCCACCTGTCATATGATTTTAAACCTCCCTTAGTGATATGGGAATCTCAATGACCCCATATGGTTTTTATTTATGCATTTATTTATTGTTTAAACTAGTTTATGTGGTAGCTGGCTAGCAAGTGATGGCCAGCTGTCACATAATTAATCCTTGCATTGCCAATAGTTATTTAACTATATGTCTGCTGGCTGCTAGTCCAGCCAGTGGGCAATTAGTTAGATTTTTTTTTAATCCAGGAGGGGATTTTAAGCATTCTGGTCTAGATTTCAGCTCTCCAGCGGCATTTGGTCTGGCTGAAATCCAGATCACGTTCAGGTCCATTTGGTGCCTGAATTGAAAAATCTGGACATTATTAAAAAGTATGAACAATGTCCATATTTTGTAGTCAGGATGCTTTCATATGCAGCTAGATGGTTTTGCCCCATTCAGCACAGGGCCATTGGAACTTTAGTGAATAATCCTGTAAGTTTGGTTATGTTCTATATTTAATAAACATGTATTTAACAGGTATGAAAATTTTTATTAAATAAAGAAATTCTCACTTTTTTTTCTGCAACTGGGCACCTACATCTTAGCTCACTGTCAGACATTGTTTTAGCCCCGTCCTTTGCATTTGGCAGTTACTACAGAAAAAATCCACACAAAAAAAAGAGTGAAAATGTAAAAATGGGGGAAATATATAAAAATGTTACAGACAGATTTGTGCATTTGATGCAATGTAGTAATTTTGTTAAGCTTTTTTCATATGTGGCTTGTTTGTGCCTCATTTGTGAATGTATACAATTTTTGAGGCTCAGAAATTAATTTATACTTTTTTTAATCACTCTATCCACTACAAAAGTATTCCGTTTCACTTCTCTTTTTGATGCCACTCTAAGTTTAGTGGTCTTTTCTGAAACTGATGTTTCTGCAAACAAATTACAATATTTAGGCAAAGGAAATCTGACACTTTTTCAGACTATTTTAGAACAATTTAATAAATATGAACAGGTTAGGGACCAAAAAAAAATACGCCCTTCAGAATATTTCAATAAAGTTCCCCTTGTGTTTCCTCTCTATATTTTAAAAAAATTGTATTTTTCATATATATTTATATTGTTGTGGGTGGCAAACCCCCCCCCCCCCTTCCTTTTTATTCAGCATACCATTCCGTTGTTCTTGTTTACAAATTTATTTGAAGAAGTAAAAAAAATAATGTAAGAATAGGTTAATCCAAGTTATAGGTCATTTTCAATGCTTTATTCAATGGTGAAAAGTACAGTTTCCCATTAATTCTAATTAATAATGTTTATTCATTCTGATTCAATGTGTTATATATTCAGCTTGTTATAATTCAACTTTATATAAGTGATGATTCAGTAGAATATTATCGATAAAAACATACACATATATTTGCAGTATAAACTCATTATTAAATATAATATTTTATCTCCAAAATGCTCATATTTTGTGGTTACTTGATTATTTCAATTAAATAATAGGGGGCATTTTCATTTTTGATCCCCAGTCTACTTGTACCATTGCAATTTAAATTCCATATACAGCCATTATGTATTTTAAGAATTTGTAAAGATAATATGTTTATTATGGACACCAAGCAATTTAGGTTCATCTGAATTCCTATAATTACAAGATACCAAATATGGCTAAATTTGATGACAGATGAACAAAATGAAATGAAAGATATACTACAGTTGCTAATAAAGTATAGGAAAACTTCAATGAAAAAAAAATATTGTGGCTTCAGTAATAATTTGAAGACTTTTTATACATTTAGTCTGACCTTATTTGAAGGCTTATAATATGTCATTATGGTAATTCTGGCAGAATACAATGCTCCCGCAATATTACAAAAAGCCAATATGAATGTCAGAATCTGGAAGAATGTTATTTGTGTTGGCATAATTTTCTAGTACTAATGCTAAAAAAATACATGAAGACTAGACTTTTTCTGTAAAAGATCAGGCCATCAAAAGGAACAGGCAGAGCATAGTGTTCCTCATAAAATACTGCTTGATCTAAAACAAGAAATCCTCAATTATCCGAGTTTCTGAAAAATACTGCCTACGTGAAATAAAAATGTTAGTAATCTGGTAAAATAATTAATGCTATGCTAATTACAGCAGAAATAAACAGAAGACATGAGAACATTGAAAATGGCCACCAACTCACTGACAAGGCACAATGAAGGTTGAAGCGATGGCCCAGGGTTCCTGTTTGCTGTGTATCTGGACTGCCCTTATGGATAGCATCAGTCTGTTATGCAGTTGGAATTGATGTGTGCAATGGCCCATGTGACCAAAATGTTGAGATCTGAATGATGACTAACTGAATGGTAAGCGATTAATTTTTTTCTCTTTTTCAGTGTTCTCATATTATTTGTTTGTTTTTGTTTGTCAATTGACCTGCAGAGCAATTGCACACAAACAGTTACATTCCACAAAAGTACCATACCATGCAATCATACCACACTGGGCATGCAATGCTAACCAGCATCTTGCAATATGTAACCATTTTCAGCATAACAGACCAGGGGTCAGGATGAACAACTCTTTTACTATGTTGCTCCACAAAGAAGTCTGAGCCTCCACCAAGTATGTGAAATGTGAACATATTCCTTAAGTTTGTAACAAGCGTTTCCTCCTCTTTCTCAAAAACCCACTGCACTGAGATGATAAGATAATGAGCTAATTAAGCACAGAAATAGATATAAGATGCAACTCAATCATATTATTTACAAATAAAAAAGCAAGAGATTTAATGGTTATATATCAGCAGGTTTCCCCAAACTTTTCCTACTCTTTTCCCCCTTTTTCCCACTGTTATTTTTATCAAACTATTATTTCAATTTTTTTTTTCTTTAGCTAATACTTGCAAATTGGGACATGTGCTGGTCTTACTTTGTCTTTTGTGTAACAAGGCCTTGACTATTAAATTAAAAATTTAGAAAAAAAAAAAGCAAAATTTTAGATCTGAAAAAGTGAATATCTTTGTATATAGTGGCAACAAGTTTATAATGATTAAATAATGTGATGGGTATGATACTTCCATCCTATAATAAGCCAAATAAAACAGGCATCCAAATATAGATCACAGAGAAAAGAGGGTGGTGATATACACATTATCACCCCGTGCCTAGAGGGGGTATCAGCTACACCTCGAGGCCCAAAGAAAGCCAAAACGATCATCTGGGGTTGCTGTATCTCATGTGCAGAGAGAACTTGCTGGAATTTTGGTTCTGGATTGCCCTTCAGATATGCTGTCTTTGTAATGGCACAATCAAAAACTATTTTAAGACCTGAGCGGGAATTTACCAAAGGGCAGGCTACTGAGTTTCTCAAAGCTTTTGCCCAATTTTAGAGTTTGCATATTCTTTGTGTTTGTTTATAAAATAATAGACTGTAAGCTCGTTTGAGTGGTGTCCTCTTCAACCTATCGTTCCTGTAAGTTTTCTTGTAATTGTCCTATTCGTAGTTAAATCCCTCCCTCTTCTAATATTGTAAAGTGCTATGGAATCTGTTAACGCTACATAAAAGGCAATAATATAATAATAATAATGTAGCACAACACAGACTATGTAAATGCATCTTTCACCGTTCTCTTTCTCCTTTCCTTTTGCTTGTCGTCTGAACTCTGTTACTTCCCATGATTGCATTCCAGTTGATTCACAAGGCCAATTCAACGGTCATTTAGAACTGGACTAAGATCTTGTTGTGTTTGAGGATGTGAAGTTGTATTTTGTTCATTTAATTTGCGATAGAAAT